ATCCTAGTGCTTTGGAAGGCAGAGGTGGGAGGATTGCTTAAGGCCAGAAGTTTGAGGCCAGGAGTTCAAGTCCAGCCTGAACAACATAGTAAGACCCCATCTCTACAAAAAATTTTTTGAAAATTAGCAGGGCATGGTGGCACACACCTATAGCCCCGGCTACTTGGGAGGCTGAGGCAGGAGGATCACTTGAGTCCAGGACTTTGAGGTTGCACTGAACTATGATGATGCCGCTGCACTCTAGCCCTGACAACAGAGTGAGACCCTGTCTCAGAAAAATAATAATAAAGCAATCCATTGTGGTGGTTACGTGGAGCATAGACTTCAGGTGGTCAAGGTTAAGTAGGAAGATGAGTTGAAAGGCTACTGTAGTAATCCAAAAGAGATAGGATAGATTTTGGACCAGAGTGGTGGCAACAAGGGTGGGGACAAATGAGTGGATTCTAGATATATTTTGAAAATTTTTTTCCTTAGCAACTGGAAGAATAGAGTTGCCTTTAACAATAATGAAGAAAACTGCACGAGGAGTAGATTTGTTGGACAGGGTGAGGGCGAGGTGGTGGTAGTGTAGGTTAATGTCAGGAACTTAGTCTTGGACATGCTGAGTTTCAGTCAGTGATGTCAAATAGGCAGGTGGATACATAGAGAAGAGATCTAGTTAGAGATATATATTTGGGAATCATTTTCACATAGATAGCATTTAAACCTTGCATTAGATGAGTTCACTAGGCTCTGAATGTAGATAGAAAAGAGAAGTTCAAGGATGAATGTCACAGAAAAGGTAGGAGGAAAACCAGGTAAAAGAAGTGTCCTACAATCCAAGTTTAAAAAAAGAAGTCAAAGAGTAAAGAATGAACAGCTGAGTCAAATGCTGATGATAAGTAAGATGAGATCATTGAAATGACTAGTATACTTAGTATTGTGGAGATGATCGGATCTTGATAATAATCCTTTTGGTGGAATGAGCAGAACAAAAACCTCATCAGGGTAGGTTTAAGAGAGCATATATGCAAGGGTTGTCTAGAAAGAATCCAGCCATTGTCAGTATAATTTTTCATATTACATGGCTGGATACTTTCCAGACAGCCCTTGCATATATAGAGAGGTAGAGATTGGAAACAATTAATATAGACAATTTTTCCCAAGGAGTTGCTCTAATTAAAGGAAACATGAATGATTGACAGCTGGAGAGATAGATGTAGTCAAGAGAAGTTTTTTGTTTATTTAAGATGAGAATAAAGATAAAAAAAAGATGGGAAAAATAACAGCATGTTTACATGCTAAAGGGAATAATCTAGTAGATAGAAAAAAACCTTATGATACAAGAAAGAGAATCACTAGAGCAATGTCCTTGAATAGGCAAAAAAGGAATGGAATCTAGTGCACATGTAGAGGGATTGACCTAAGCTGGAATAAAGATAATTCATCCAGAATAACAGGAAAGAAAGAGAGAATATAGGAACAGATATAGGCAGGTACATAGATGGTGGGAGTATGTGGAAGTCACTAGATTACTTCTGTTTTCTCATTTAATCCGCTGAAAGTAAAAATGTGAGAGGAGGTGTTCATATTTGAGGAAAGAGAAAGTATACAATAGTGGCCTTAAAGAGTATAGTAAAAAATGAACCAAGAAAATACAGATTGCTAGCACATTAAGGACCCAGATTAAGTTAATGGTCCATAATTTAAAGTGAGACCTGTCATCATGGTTATGAACTTTTTTTTTTTCGGTTTCATTTAGCTGCACAGGTTGAGTTAAAATATAGTATATTAATACAAAATTTGAGATATAATAAGTTCAATAGACCAGGAAATTATTGCCATTGAAAAAATAGTTTATTACCCAAGTTTCAGAGGAGGGGCATACCCGGGGTCCGGGGGAGGCTACCCAGGGTTGCACTGAGATCTGTCAAGAGGCAGATGGATGGGGGGAAGGGAATGGTGAGCAAGAGCCTTTATTGTGGTTTCCAGCAGAAGGAATGGATGAAGCAGGGTAAACAGGTTTAGGATTAGCGGCTCTGAGTAATTTCAGTGGGTATGGGGCACAGGGGTTGTCCCTACTGGTTTGGCATTTGGCCATGGGGTGATTAGGGCAGGTGTGGTGGCACGGAGTATGAGAGCTGGATAAGAGAGGTTGCTGGGGATGTGGACTCTGGATTGGTTGATTTACATTTGAAAAGCACACCCCTGGGAGAAGGACTCCTCCTAAGGAAAGGGGTGAGAGCAAGATGGGAAGCAGGAGGCCAAGGCAAGGTAACTCGGGTATATTATCAGATTGTCTAGAACAAGGCCGATCTGGCCTATGAATGTAGGCCAGTTGTTAAAGCATCAAGTTTACAGAAGCTAGAAACATGTTTAATACACAGGTGCAGGTTCAAAGTAAGAGGATAATTGGAATTAACTACGATTTTGGTTTTGCCAGCATGCACAGTAAAATAAAAGAAGGGGAGGGGTGAGAATATAAGTAAAGAGTGATTGTAATAATTAACTATCAATTGAAATACTTAACCTCAAGAGGGAATAGATGCCATGGAAGGGGTAGTAGGTAAGGAAACAAAACGTGGTAGAGTCAAATGCTCAAAGGTTATAATAGGGTTGCAGGATAGTTGAAGCTGGCTTTTAAGAGGGTGTGTAAACTGGAAAAATTGGAAGTGGTGGTTGACCTTGCTAAAGACAAAGCCAAAGTATTATGACCATGGGAGTAAGTGGCTGAAGTAGCAAGGTGAGTAAAATCATTTGTGTGAGAAGATTTCAAGGAGCTAAGAGGTGAAGGTTGTTAGAGGATTACCTTCATGGATATTTGCATAATCAAGAATTATGCCAGAAGTGGTATTAGAGAGAGCCAGTGGTTCAGGATATAAAAATCTTCAGAGGATGGAAGAAGGGAAATGGTAATGAGGGTAAATTGCCATAAGAAAGTGGAATATTTATGGTCATTGAAACCATGGAATTTACTCTGGGATTGTATATATAGTGAGAAATCAGATAAGTAGGGTTTGAGCCTAAATGTAATCTGTTAAAGAGGAACCTAACAAAGGCAAATGGAATGAGAGGACTGGATTTTGTAAGGATAGTAGGGCAATATGTCAAGGAGGAAGAAAATGAGAGAGTTGAAGGTAATGGCAAAAGGGTGATTCAACTGATAAGTTGTAGATTCAGGATTTAATAGAGAAAGAAGAGAAATAAAAAATGTACTGATTATTTGGTAGAAAATGGAAGAGTCAGGTGATAAGAGATTTCAACGAGTTTGAAGAATAGGAGACAGTGGTGTTACAGACACCAATCTGGGAAGTCAGTTTTAAGAAGAAAGTGAGCTAGATTATAGTTAATGGAAAAATAAGAAGAGTAAATAAGTAGGCAGTATTATTGACTAATATTTTAAGAAGTTAGACTGAAAGGAAGGAGAAATACAGTAATAGATAAAGACATAGTTAAAGGAAGGATTTTTAAGTCGAGGAGATAACTTGGGCATAATTATATGCCCACAGGGAAAAGACAGAAGGAAATATGATAAAGGAGACCTGGAATTACTGATGGAGAAGAGACCCTGGGAAAGCAATAAGAGACAGGTTACAAAGTGCAGAGAAAAAATTACTTTAGATAAGAATGGCAATGCTTTTACTGAAAGAGGAAAAGAGAGATAAGGATGGATTGAGATGATTTTATAGCAGGTAGAAGAAGAATTTAAAGAAAGTAGAAAAATAATTTGAAGGAGTTTTAACATGATTGATACTTCATTGTTTAGAAATGTGGGAGTAAAGTCCTTTAGGGATGGAAGAGAGGCAGATAAGGTAGGATACTTTAAAAGAATGTAAATTTTAAACAGTACACAAATGAAATTCATTTACTTATTTCTTAAAAAATTTAGTGCCTGTGATATACTAAGCACTGTGTTGGGTGTTAGGAATACAGCAATGAACAAGACAAAGTTCCTGCCCTAAACATGCTCACATTCTGTAGAGGAGTAGGCAACAATAAACAAAATGTCAAGTCATGATAAGTGCTGTGAAGAAAAATAAAATATGGAAACTGGATTAATTGTTGCCATTTAAAAACATTTACTCTTGTCTTTTATGATTTCAAAAGTAAAAGTGTCATTAAAAATGATTTCTTTGAAACCATATATCCTTTTTGTAATCTAAGGGAAAATCACGTGTATATTATAGAAGTCCACATTACAGACTACTAAAAGGAATAAAATGATAAGGTAGGTCCTTATCTTAAGGAGTTTACAGAGTAAATCCAAAAGTAAAATTATATTTTTTCTCTGGGATACAAGTATTTTGACCATAACTTCTTATTAAAAATTATCATATAATTTGTCCAAGCAGGAACATGATATCTTTCTCAAGTTTGATTGATTGATTGATTGATTGATTTCGTAGAGATGGGGCACTCACTGTGTTGCTCAGGCTGGTCTTGAACTCCTGGTTTCAAGCAATGCTCTCACCTCTGCCTCCCAAAGTGCTAGGGTTACAGGCATAACCCACCGTACCCAGCTACTCGGGTTTTATTAATCATGTTTAAATCTGCCTATGTAACTTCACTGTACACTCATTTGTGCTTACTATGTGCCAGGTACCTCTTAACCATAATACATAAATTATTTAATCTTCATAACAATCTCTGAGTTAGGTACTATTATTACCTCCACCTTCACAGATAAAGAAACGAAGACCCTAAAGAGTCAGTGTAGAATTTGGATCTGACTGCCTGGGTTCAAATCTCAACTATAGTAGTAATGTTTTCCCTTAAGCCTCTGTGACTTTATATAAAATAATATTCATAACAACTTCTTAGAGTTGTTGCGAGGGAAATGACATAATGTATGCAAACTCTTTAGAATTATGCTTACACATAATAAGATCTCAAGTAGCTATTTCTTGTTATATGTTTAGATTGTTCACATGTTTCTACAGGAAATTCTGCTTTTTTATCATTTGTTGATTTTTCTTTTCAATCCTGAATCCTCTGTATTATACTTTCTTTTTCTTATATAGGAGCAACACACAATTAAGGAAGTCTTTTAGCATTGTTAATCCAGTCAAAGCAACTACAATGAAAGGATATATTGGTGCAAATCAAAGCCGAATGGCTGTGTCAAAAACCATGGTTATTGTACCTGAATTGAAAATGGCAGAAAAAATGAATATTCCCAGCACAAAGACAGTACAGGTAATATTCTTTAGAATTCTGGGTTTATTTGAAATGACACTATGAAAAATTTGATTGGAATAAAAGAAAATATGCTACTTTCAAATAATTACTCCTAATTTTGAAATACTGATGTTAGGGTTTTTACCATGTAATGTTCCTTACAACATAATATTGGCAGTTGGCTTCTGTAACTAGTTTTTGATACAAAGAATATTGGAATGGAATGAGAAAAATCTACTCACGACTTTAAATATTAGTTGCTTGTGTTATTAATTATAGCTATTAATTATGCACTACAGCTATCATCCACTCTTCTCAGCAGTGTGCTCTTGAAAATATCACAAAATTGTCATCAAGTCAGTAATTTGTCTCATTATAAAACTTACAATTAAGGATTGACTCTTTTAAACTTTTAATCGAAATATTACATATATACAGAAAAGCATATAATATATAACTTTGAATGGGTTAGGCTTTTTTAGATAGGACATTAAAAGCACAGTCCATAAAAGATAAAATTGGTAAATTGGATTTCGTCAAAATCAAAACTTTAGCTCTTTGAAAGACACTGCTGACAGAATGAAAAGTGACACATTGGGAAAAATTATTTACAAAGCATATTCTCATAAAGTACTTACAACTAAAATGTGTATAAACAACCCTCAAGACAATATTAAGACTACTCCATTTTAAAAAACAAGCAAAATACTTGAATAATACTTTACTACAGTAGATATACACGTGGTATATGAACACGTGAAAAGATGATCAGTATTAGTCATTAAGGAAATGCAAATTAAAACCATGAATGGCTATTAGAATGGCTAAAATGGCTACCTATTAGAATGGCTAAAATTTAAAAAAGACTGACCATACCAAATATTGATAAGTATGTGGAAGAACTAAAATCTCTTCATACATTGCTGGCACACATGAAAAATAGAAAAAAAATTTGGCAAGTTATTAAATATTAAACATATATCTACTGTATCATCCACATATGCCACTTCCAGGTATTTGGTGAGAGAAAAGAAAATACATGTTTATACAAACAGTAGTACATGAATTTTCATAGCAACTTTATTTATAATGGCCCAAAAGTAAAATGACTCAAATGTAATTTTAGTAAAGCAATACTATGTATTTGCACATATAACACAAATATATATATATATTTTTCAATGATGCAAGACTGAAAGCTTTTCCCCTAAGATCAGGAATAAGAGAAGGATGTCTGCTTTCACTACTTCTCTTCAGAATAGTAGTGGAAGTCCTAGCCAAGGCAATTAGGCAAGAAAAAGAAATAAAAGGCATCCAAATTGGAAAGGAAGAAATAAAATTATCTCTTTTCACATATGACATGATTTTATATGTGGAAAACTGTAAAGATTACACACACACACACACACACACACACACACACACACACACACAGTTAGAACTAATAAATGAATTCAGCAGTCGCGGGATAGAAAATCAACACACAAAAATCAGTTGCATTTCTAACAATGAACAGTCCAAAAAGGAAATTAACAAAAAGATTACATTTACAATAGCATCAAAAAGAATAAAATGCATAGGAATAAACTTAATCAAGGATGCCAGAGATTTGTACACTGAAAACTACAAAACATTACTGAAAGAAAAGGAAGAGGACACCAATAAATGGAAAGACATTTCTTATTCATTGATTGAAAGACCA